AGTTTTCTGTTTCTGCCATTTTGTTGTTGATTGTTTGGACCTCTTTCTGTATGTTTTGGATTGTTACCAATGCTGTATCTATCTTGTTTGATTGTTCCTGTAGTGCTTTTCTGACTTCTTCCTTTTTTTTCTCAACTCCATTGTAAAGTGCTTTGAGACATTTTATAATCATTTTTCTGAAATCTTTCTCAGGTATCTCCAAGGCCTGCCCTCCTTCCAGCATGGAGAGACGGTCTACTTCTGGTTCATTTGTCACAGATATTTTATCTTTTTTCTGGACATGTGCCGATATGGTTATCTGCTTTTGCTTCTTGGACATGTTTAATGTTTATCTGTGGCCCTAATAGTTAAGTATGTGTTTTGGTAAGTTTTTTATATTTTCTGATTACCTCCAGGATGATGTGATCAGGTTGTGGTCTTCCCTTTTTCACTCTCCTTATTGCTTAACTCAGAGTACCTTTTTTGGGCCTCAGTTGGGCCTGGGCCTCGGCGGTGGGCCGTTTGGGCCTCTGGCTGTGGGTTGAGCCTAGGGCGGGCGGTTTGGGCCTCTGGGGGCCTGGGTGTCAGCGACCGGGCTACAGGAGGGTTGGGCCTCGGGCAGGTGGTTTGGTCCTCGGGGCGCCTGGGTATCAGCAGCTGGGCATTGGGCAGCTTGGGCCTCAACGGGTGGGTTGGGTGGATTGGGCCTCGGGGGGGCCCTGTGCCTTGGGGACCGGGCTGAGGGCGGGTTGGGTCTCAGGGGCACTGGGCCTCGTCGACTGGGCTATGCAGCACGTTGGGCCTCCAGAGCCCTGGGCCTCAGCGACCTGGCTACGCTGCGGGTTGGGCCTTGGTTGGGCCTGGGCCTTTGTGACCAGTGTGTGGGCGGATTGGGCCTCAGGGCAGGCCTTGGCCTCAGTGAGAGTGTCTGGGCCTTGGGAGGGCCTTGGCCTCAGTTGGCGGGCCTGTGTCTTGGGCATTCCTGAACCTCGGCGGCTTGGCAGAGGACTGGTCTTGGCTGGGGCAATAGAGGGCTAGGGGTCGTAGCTGCAGGGAGGTAGTGTCTGTATTTGATGACATAAAAAATGCCTCTCTCAGTCTCTCTGTACTGTGGGTACCCCGAATTTCCTTATATCCGTGCCGATATCCCTCTCTATTTATTCGGCTTTTTTAGTTTATGCTTCCTTTTCTCTGGAAATGCAGCCTTCTAAGTGGGGTTGCTCTAGCCCTGCATTCCCAGGTATGCAGGGGGCAGAGGCAGTCGCCAGTGCGGGCGTGGAAGCGGAAGCCGCATGCAGGCAGGCAAAAGCTCAAAATGCCTGTAATTCCACAGCAATTTGATCTTTAAAAAAAACGAGTTCAGAATGTTGAAATATAAGTTCTTATATTTGTACAAAGTCTGTCTGTCTGCTAGACAGAGGTTTCTTATGTGTGATTCCGCCCTTTTCCCCGAGACTGCCCTACCTGAGCTGCCTGGTCCGGGAAGCACCGGAAGTCCTCTCTGTAGATAACTTGTGATTTTTCCTAAGCTGCTTTCAGGTTTTTTCCCCTTGTGTTTGATTTTGGAAAGTTTGATTATGATACATCTTGGTGATTCTCTTTTGGCATCTATCTTGAGAGTTTGGGGTTTGTTCAGTTTCTTGGATGCATATCTTCTTGTACTTCATGCTATTTGGGAAGTTTTTCTTCTAGAAAAATTTTTCTTTGTGTTTTTAATTTTTTTGGATGGTCTCTTCCAATTCTGGAATTTTGATCACAGGCATGTAATTCCTCTTGATGGTGTACCACATGATTCTTAGAATTTCTTAGTCTTTTTTTTTTTTTTAATCTCTCATTATTTTTTCTGATTGTTCTTCTAGCAGATGAGTAGTGAAAGATAAGTCTTAAATCTTGCAATTCTGTCTTTCCTTGATTGAGACCCACTCCTTTGCCCTTTCAGTGCATTATCTATTTCTGGAATTACAGTATCAATCTTCTGGGTTTCTGTTTTCGGATTTTGTATGGTTTCTAATTTTTAATTTATTTTGTCACTTTGTTCTTGTACTTTCCTGAATTCCTCTCGAGTTTTACTAGTAGTCTCTTCAGTCTTTCTCTCAATCTTTACCAGGTAGGTCCAATGCTATTTCTTCCTTACAGAGCTTTGTCTGTTGCCTCTGAGGAGTGATGGTGTTGTATTTGTGATTGCATGCTGATATGTTCATAGGCATTGACCACTTGTGACTGGGTATGATAGATAATGGGAATGTGTGTGTAGTCCTCTGTTTGCTGTTCCTGTAGAGTAGCTGAGGGTACCATCTATCCCAGATCAGGTGGTGCAGGAGCAAGAGATGGCCTTTGTGCAGTGGGCTGGGCAACAGGAGGTATGGTTGCTGTCTCCCATCTTGTGTACCTAGAAAGAGAGAAAAAGCAAAAACAAACAGCAACAACAAAAAAAGAAAGTAAACAAGAAAAAACAAGAAAATAATAAATAGAAATAAAAAAAAAACTGGGTAAGGAAAAAGAACGAAAAGACAAATGCTAGGAAAGGTGATAAAAAAGAAAAGAAAACAAGTAAGAAAAAGATGGGAAGGGGAAAAAGAAAAGAGAGTAGAAAGGAAATGAGAAAAATTAAAAACAAAAACAAAACAAGGGAAGGATAAGAAAAGAACAGGAGGGAAACAACAGAAAAGAGAATCCTGGCAAGGGCAAGGCACTCAGTGACCATCCCTCTTGTCTGAGAAGGCAGAGAAAGGCAGGGGAGGACATCAGCACACTCTGTAACTGAGGATCTGGAGGCCAGGGGGAGAGGGTGGGACACCTTGTCCTGGATGAAGTTTCTGCCAGCCTAGAAGGTAGCTGGGGTCAGGGCACCTGGTCCTGGAAGGAGTTCTTGCCTGCCCAGGGAGTAGCTGGAAGCCGGACTCCTATCCAACACTGCATGTGTGCTTGCCCAAGGAGGTAGGGAGTCTGTGCCTCCAAAGGCACTCAGCAGTCAAGCCACAAGGGCATGCTTCTGACTTCAGGCAGAGCAGGGGGTGTATGGGAGTAGGAGCAGTACCATTAGCAGCCAGGTAGGTGAGGGTGGGGAGGTTGTAGGGAACAAGAAGAGTGTATCTTGTCGTCAGCCACCAATATAATAGTGCATATAAGAGTCCTAAAGGAGCTCTGGTAGCGTAGTGGCTACGATGGCTGTGAACCTTAGGTGAGTGGAGCTGTCACTGCCCCAATTGAATGCTGCTTGCAAAAGTTGAAAATGGCCATGCTGCATCAGACCAGCTGAAATTCACCTTTCTGCTTGTCTCCTGATGGCTGCTTTGTTCAGCTTTGATCAGTATTTGATTGATTTCACTATCCTTTCCTCTGAAGTTCAGTGTTCCAGGATCATCATTTGTATCTGCCTTGTTTGATATCTCATGTCTTTGTTGCAGAGGGTTTGGGTAGCCTGTCTGCCTAGTCTGTCATCTTGCCAGAAGTTGGAAGTTTAATTCTGCTAAATAACAAGGTCGGTATCAATGTTCTTCAGATAGATAAAACTTGACCATGCACTGTTTCATGTGGATATCTTGCTAGAATGATTTTATTTTTTAAAGTTTTCTTGTGTTGAGATATATACTGAACTGCTAAGCACAAGGTTGCCTGTTCAAGCCCACTAGCTGCTCCTTGGAAACCCTATACAAAGTTGCTATGAGTCAGAACTGATTGGGCAACACTTAACAGCAGCAACAGAGATATGTACAACATACATTTGTTATTTTCCATTATTCTTAGGTGCTCCATTCAGTGCCATTTGTTATTTTCAGTGTTGTGCAGCCTTCACCATTTTCTATTTCCATAATTTCTTTTTATCTCAAACAGAAACTGGGTACCAATCAAATAATAACACCCCATTCCATTTTTCTGGTAACCTGGTAATGTCCCTCATAACCTCTAGTCTACGTTCTGTCTCCATACATACTTTTTTATTTATGCCTCTCTCAAGGAAGCCTCTACCTCTCTCTTCCGCCCCATTCTCTTGAGGCTTTCCCTCACTGCAGTGATAATCTACCTGCACATCACTCTACAGGGGCTGTCTGTCCCTCCTCGGAACACTGCTGTCTTGGCCTCTGGGTTTACACTGAGTTGACCTTCTGCTTCTGGCTGGTAGACTCCCTCCAACACACACTCTGTCCTGAATGCCCTCTGCCACATCTTGGTTGGAAGGACAGTCACAATTTGACCACGTTCCAAGTGGTGTGGTGCTTCCACCTACCTGTTGACCACCATTGTGTTCACTGCACAGAAGCCAAGATTATCCTTTTCATATATGGTTCAGAGACTGTCTCTCATTAAATCTGTTTCTTTTTAGCCACCTATTCTAATCTTTTGTTCCTATCCTGCCTCCTAGTCGTGCCCACCTGAGGCCTGGCACCATGCTGAGTCCTCTGGTTCTCCCAGGAAATCCCCTCTCTCACTTATTGCCCTCTGAGAGTTCTTTCCCCGTCTGTCTCACACTGCATCCACCTCCTCTGGTAACACTGTCCTGTGTTCCATTTTGTTTTCTTTGCACACTTATCCCCAAATAACATTAAGCAGCTTTTTGTGTACTCTTCCCCTAGACGCAGGCTTCGTGGTGCATCCATATCACCTAACACTACTGCATGCAGTTGGTGCTCACCAGGTATTTATTGGACAAGTGAACTCCCTGTGGTATTTCTTTGTGTTGTTCCAGTGGTGTTTGCCATGTTTTGTTACATTTTCTTGTCATTCTAATGTGTGTATTCTCTATTCTGTACTGTTTACTCCATAGTGCTATCACAGTTCTGACTGAAGGTTCCTTTTATGGTCCATCTTTCCCTCTGTACCTGATACAATGCTAGCACAAAGGCCATGGCTGAGGAGACACTTGCTGGGTTGGGGCTCACCTTTGTGGGGCTAGGAGCCCATTGGCAGTGGGGCTGACTTACTCACATTGCCTCCTACTTCTTGTGTATCAGTGTCTGAATCTTTGGGACATGCTTGGCATGGCCAGCTGATCTTCTCCCTCTGTCCTCCTGCAGGCCACCATGAATGCCATTGTGGCGCTCTGTCACTTCTGTGAGCTGCACGGTCCCCGCACTCTTTTTTGTACAGAAGTCCTACATGCCCCACTCCCCCAAGGGGCTGAAAGCAGGGACAGCCCTGGCCAATGCGAGCAGGCTGAGGAGGAGGAAGGCGGTATTCAGATGAACAGTCGTATCTGCTCCCACAGCCCAGCAGAAGGGGCCAGTGCAGAAGCCAGTAGCCCAGGGCCCAAAAAGTCTGATATGTGTGAGGTGAGTGTCATCTTGGTCTCCGAAGGACCTGCTCTGTGAGGGACTGTGTACTTGTGCTGCTGCTTCTACCATCCTGGAATGGGGTACACAGTCTACATAAATTGTGGCAGAGATGGGATGGACCATGCTCCCGGTACAGAGCAGTGTGAGGACTGATGGAGTGGGCATGCTCTTTGGTGACAGGCATAGCTGAGTGAGCTTAGTGGGCCTTTGCATGTGTGGTCAAGCCCTCTGCCAGACCTCGCTCAGTTTTGCTAAACCCACCGTCCTTAGAGTGTTCCCATTGGAGCCCTCTCGGGGGAGGACTTTGTGAGATAAAGAAAGTGAAGTGTCAGTTTCCTAAAGAGGTGCTTCTGAGTGTGAAGGTCCTGGTAAGGCCCAAGATCCAGATGGTGTGGGACATGTCACAGCTGTGACCAGCATAATCCAATGAGATTCAGATTCCAAGCCAGGATCTGATGGGCAGGAGCTTCATCAGTGAAGACGACTATGAGAGGTAGAGGAGTGGGGAAGGCAGGAGGATGTAGGGAGTACTAGGCAGGACAGGGCTTGGGTGGGTCTAGCCAAGCCCACCCTTGGAGGGATCCACATTTGTTGCTTGACCCTTGAGCGGGGGGTAGCCTGTAGGCTCCTTCAGCGGTGCTGGGCCATCAGTCTGTTGGCTTCCTGCACAGGCTGAAATGGAGTAGCTTGTCTGCAGGGCCGACACAACTCTGAGGTTGTGTTCCTTGCTTGACCCCTTGCTCTGGCCTGAAGCCTTGCCAGGTGTTTGTGTTGGGACCAAGCACAGAGGTCTGGATGGCAAGGTGGGTCACATCACTCAGAAAGTGGTTCACAATAAGGTATATTCTAGCTCTGCCAATTGTCAGCTTTATGATCCTTGGCTGGCTACTCAGCATCTCTGAATTTCACTTTTCCTTTCTGTGATATGGGGGTTCTCACTTAGGGTTGGGCCTTGGATGAGATGAAATGAAGTGTGCAAAGCTCTTATCACAGTACCTGATAGATGAGTGCTCAGTAACATTATATGTGAAGTAGTGGTGTGGCTTTGTAGGGTAAGCACTGCACTGCAAGGTTGGTTTGAACTGCTGGTGGTTCAGACCCACCTGCTGCTTTTTGAAAACCCTATCAGGGTGGCTATGAGTTGGAACCAACTCAACGGCACTTAACAACAACAACAGCATTATTTGCTACTAAACAACCTCTGGCAATCTTATCTCATCAGCATTTAAATCCTCAGGTGAGTGTGAATTGAAAAGCCAGTTATTTTTATACAAAAATGGGTTGAGTTTTGTAAACTCAGCTTTGTCTAAGAGGTAAAGGGTTTGCTATCAGCTTGCTACCCAACTGGTTTTCTGTTCCTTCTCATGTCCAGGGCTGCCGATCCCTTGCTGTGGGACATCCAGGTTACATCAGCCACGACAAGGAGACCTCCATTAAATATGTCAGCCATCAGCACCCCAACCACCCGCAGCTCTTCAGCATTGTCCGCCAGGCCTGTGTCCGGAGCCTGAGCTGTGAGGTGGGTGACTGTCTATGTAGGAATCGTGTATAGTCCCTAGTTGAAAGGAACCCTCAGCAAGTTGGGTTAGGTCAGTGCCACTAGTGCATAGTACAGACCGCATCAGTTCTCCAGAGCCTATGAGAAAAAGTACTGTGAGACTCATAGGTCCTCTGGATGGTTGCTAGCTTTTCACTCTAAGCACAAATCTTGTTACTTGCCTATTCTTGCTGGACATAGATCTAAGATATGGACTATTTCTAGGGTAAGTATTTCACTATATCAAGCATAACTTTTTATAAAGTCTTGATCTCACTGTAAGCCCCAGTGGTCATCACGGGCTCTCAGGTCCTAGTGAAGACTATAAATCGGTTTGTTCTTGAACTCCTTGGCTGCTGGTGTGGAGTTCAAGTCTTAGCTCTTATGAAGTGTTTCTGTCTGTTTGCCACAAAGAATTCACAATTAGGTTACCAAAGTATCTTGTCCTTGGTATTTAGTTGATCAGACAGATTCTGTTCCCTCATTGCCAGTTACCATTTTTTTTGTGGCTGTGTGCTGTCCTTCAGCTGTTTAACCCCTTTTCATTTCCTACTGCTAATCTGCTAGTAGTAATCATGGACTCCTGGTGTGGTGCTGTGGACATTAGACTGCAAGGTCAGTTTGAACCATTAGATCCTCAGTTCTAACTCACCAGCCACTCCTTAGACTCCCTGTATAGGGTCTCTATGAGTTGGAACTGATTTCACGGCACTTAACAACAACAACAAATCTGCTAGAAGGGAGGTAAATTAGGTGTTAGGATTGTGTGTGAAATTTTCCTGAGGGGAGGGACTTGTAATAGTCCTCTCCTAAAAATGTAGGAAAATTAGAAGTTGTCAAAAATGAAATGGCATGCAAAAACATCGCTATCGTCGATACTGATGAGCTGAAATGGACTGGTATTGCCCATTTTGAATCTGACAATCACATGGACTACTGTGCTGGGAATGGCAAATTGAAGAGGAATGGTATCACATTCATCATCACATACTGAAACATGATGAAGAGCAACAAAATATTGTCAGATATGAGCCAGAAGATGAGCCCCTCAGGTTGGAAGACACTCAAAGTAAGACTAAGGAAGAGCTGTCTCTTCAAAGCAGAGTTGATTGTGATGACGTAAATGGAGTAAAGCCTTCAGGACCTTCATTTGCTGTTGGACACAACTCAAAATGAAGAGAAACAGCTGTAAACATCCATTAGTAATTGGAACATGGAATGTACAAAGTATAAATTTAGGAAAACTGGAAATTGTCAAAAATAAAATGGAACACATAAACATTGATATCCTAGGCTTTAGTGTGCTGAAATAGACGGTTGTTGCCCATTTTGAATCTGACAGTCACATGGTTTACTCTGCTGGGGCAGTGACATATTGAAGAGGAATGGTGTCACATTCATCATCAAAAACATTTCAAGATCTGCCTTGAAGTATAACTATCTGTGATAGGATAATATCCATACGCATACAAGGAAGATCAGTTAATACCACAGTTATCCAAATGTACATATTGTTGTAGTTAGGTGCCATCTAGTTGGTACTGACGCATAGCGACCCTATGCACAACAGAACGAAACACTGCCCAGTCCTGGGCCAGCCTCACAATTGTTGCCACACTTGAGCCCATTGATACTGCCACTTGGCCAATCCATCTCTTTGGGGGTCTTCCTCTTTTTATCTGACCCTCAACCCTACCAAGCATGATATCTTTCTCCAGCAACTGGTCCCTCCTGACAATATGTCCGAAGTCTGAGAGATGAAGTTTGGGCATCCTGGCCTCCAAGGAGCACTCTGGCTGCACTTCTTCCAACACAGATCTGTTTGTTCTTCTGGCAGTGCATGGCACTTTCAGTATTCTCCTTCAACACCGTAACTCAAAAGCATCAATTCTTCTACGGTCTTCCTTATTCACTGTCCAGCCTTCACATGCATATGAGGCTATTGAAAATACCATGGCTTGGGTCAGGCACAGCTTAGTCCTCAAGCTGACATCTTTGCTCTTCAACACTTTAAAACGGTCTTGTGCAGAAGATTTGCCTAATGCAATAGGTCGTTTGATTTCTTGACTGCTGCTTCAGTGAGTGTTGAGTCACCACAATGGAGGTGCACAGACAGTGTGAGACCAATGAGCAGATACAAAAAAGACTTCATCTCTCATCCTTTGGATGTATTATCAGGAGGAACCAGTCCCAAGGAAAGGACATCATGCTTGGCAAAGAGAAAGAGGGTCAGCAAAAAAGAGGCAGACCCCAATGGTATGTATTGGCACAGAGGCAGCAATTGTGGGCTCAAGTGTAGCAATTATAGTGAGATTGGTGCAGGACCAGGCAGCGTAACATTCTGTTGTGCATAAGGTTGCTATGGGTTTTGATACCAACTCGAAGACACCTAACAACAACAACAAAAGCTTGGCGATATGAACCATATATTTAACCTTCTTGATTTAAGTATATTCCAGGTTGGCAAATCTGAACCTTGAGATATAATATTTACATAGGATTTTTTTTTTCTGCAATGGAGACATGGTAATCGTACTTTACTTGTATTTCACCATAACTAATGTAATAGATTTTCAAAGAGTAATTACAGGAAGTCTGAAGCAAGATGGTGGAGTAAGCAGATGCACTGTGCTGACCTGATCCTCTGCAACAAGACATGGGAGAGTGAGTGAAACAGACACCAATGGTGATCCTGAAACCCTCCGCATCAGAGGGTGGGACAGAGGTGAATTAAGTGCTGACTGGAAGACAAAGTTGAACAGGAACAGTGAGAGAGAAGAAAAATGGGCAGACTATGGTGGGCTGGTGTGGAGGGGTGCAGCCATGTTGAGCTTTTGGGAGCAGCTGTTAATACAGCAGCCTGTGGGCACAGGACGTGGCTGGAGGTTGGCCACAAGGGGGTGCAGTGTTCAATCTCCACCCTGGGCAACTCAGTGGGCTGTGACACCCCCTCATGCTCAGCCTCTGCTTTGCCTGGGGTTGGGTGCCTGGCATAGCACCCCTGCTTCTAGATGTGTGTGACCCCGCCCTGAAGTACAGGATACAAACAGTGAACAGTGAGCTGACCTCAGTCACACTTCGGTCTCCACCACATTTACCAGGTGATAGCTGGTGAGTGCCTGAGAATACAACAATATGCTGTCATCAAATCAATATAAATATGAAACCATAGTGTCTCAGAGAAAACAGACAGTGTCAGCTTGCACAAAGAAACAAGACAGAGTGCCTCAAACAAGTGACCAAAATACAGTAAAAAAATATAACACCAGAAATGGTATCTGAACTACCTGTTGTTGGTGGTGGTCATGTGCTGTGGAGGTGGTTCTGACTCATAGCAACCATGTCTAGGGTTTCTGAGGCTGTAAATCTTTATAGGAACAGAAAGTCTCATCTTTCTCATGCGGAGCAGCTGGTAGATTCAAACTGTTGACCTTGCCCGACTCACAGCCTAACTTAAAATCCACGATGCTACCAAAACTCCTTAGATCTACCAGGTAAAGAGTTTAAAAGAAAGGTAATTAGGCAACTTCAATGGATTGAACAAAAGACCGAAAAAACTACAGATGAATTCAAGGAGAAAACATAGGCAAAACTATGGAAAAAATAGGGAAATAAATTGACAAAATTATTGAAAATGGGAACCATGTAAAATTAGCAGTTAGAGAGCCACAAGATTAATATGAAGACTTCAGAAATAGACTATATACTAAAAGGGCAAAGCAATAGAATTGAATCAATGGAAAGCCAAATTATTGATGAAAACAAATCTCTCAATAATCATCTGTATAGCAACAATCAGAAAAAAAAAAAAAAAAAAAAAAAAAACCCTGAAGAAATCATAAGATTTATGTGGGACACTATCAGTAAGAATAACTTTTGTGTGATGGGAATTCCAGAACAGGAAGAGAGAAAAAACCTCATAGATAATACTGTCCCAAGAGTTGCTGGAAGAAAACTTCCCTAACATCATAGAAGATGAGAAGATGAATGAACCCCAACTTGGTAACCCTCCCCCCAAAGAAACACCAATACGTATTATAATCAAACTTTTCAAAACCAAAGATAAGGAATGAAACCTGAGAGCAGCTCAGAAAAAAACAAAAAGTTACCATCATTGGAGAATTAATCAGACTAAGCTCTGATTGCTCAGCAGAAACCAAACAGACAAAAAGACAATATAACAACATACATAAAACTCTGAAAGAAAAAAATTGCTAACCAAGGGTCATATACATAGGAAAACTATCCATCAAATATGACAGTGAAATTAGGTCATTTTCAGACAGATTAAAATAATTTGTAAAAACCAGACCAACCTTATATAAAAAATACTAAAGGAAATTCTTTGGGCAGAGAACCAACAATAGCAGACAACCTGAGACTAAACTATATGCCAGTGTCACCTAGACTCAACCCAGATATGTTGTGAAGTGCTATCAAGTTGGTTCTAACTCAGAGATCCTGTATTGCTCACAGAGATCCTGTATATATATTACAGTGCCACACCAGGACCCCAGATATAGAAGTATGCAAAGTAAAACAAACCTATAAGACTGAAAATAGAGAACCAGAGATACAGTTGCAACAACAAAAAATATAAAGTAAAAATCCGGTATAGAACTTCCAAATGAAGAGTAAATCAAATAGATTTCAAGAAAAATAAAATCTAAAGTAAAAAAGACCTGTAACTTGTAACTGTAACCCTGAAAATTAGACCAAGCCTTATTCCTAGCCCTGGGCCAACCCTGACCCTTAACCCTAACCATAACCCTAATAATAAATGAAGTCCTAGGCCTAGCCAAGACCCAGCCATAATCTTAACCTTAACCCTAGCCCTCACTCCTTACTCTTACCTCCCCCATACATCCCCGTCCCCCAGAAAGAAAAAAAAAAGTTACAGGAACAGATGAATGCTAAATTTTTCTTTCCCTGCCCACTCTCCCAGACAATTCATGCTGGTACTTAATGCCAAGGGAAGGCTGAGGCGGTGGGTGGGACTCTATCCTTGAAACCTGGAAGGACTGCGGCCTCATATCACTTCTGTTTTCCCAGGTCTGCCCTGGCCGTGAAGGCCCCATCTTCTTTGGGGACGAGCAGCATGGTTTTGTTTTCAGCCACACCTTCTTTATCAAAGATAGCCTGGCCAGGGGTTTCCAGCGCTGGTATAGCATCATTGCTATCATGATGGATCGCATCTATCTCATCAACTCCTGGCCCTTCCTGCTGGGGAAGATCCGCGGGATCATTGATGAACTCCAGGGCAAGGCCCTCAAGGTGACGCTGATGAGTGGAGAGCCTGGTGGGTGGCAGCAGCATGTGTCTCCACTAGCCCTGGCCTTCGGCTCGGCTCTGTTGGCTTCAGAGTTGGGGATGCATGTGGTAAACCGCATGTTATCCAGCCCTCTCTTAACTTTCTTAATCTCTCTTGCCCCTACTGGTGCTGTCCTGTCCAGATCTGATTTCTTAACTACTTACGGCATTCAGACCTAGGTGTCAGCTCTGCTTTCTGAGTTTGCTCATTCTGGCCTTCATTCCAGAAGACTGTCCATTAGTCATGTTGCTGACCCACTCCTAATTAGACCTCTGGCATGGCATTACCTCTGTCAGTATAGCTCAGACTGGGCTGTGGTCAGACAACCTCAAATCTCAGCAAATTGAAGCTAGAAAATTTTGCTGCTTAGGCATTGTGTCTGTTGCAGGATGGTAGGGGGAATGGCTTAATGTAGTCATCCAGGCAAATAAGGGCCTCTCACCTCATTAGCCAGAAATAATCACATGTCTCACCCCAAACAGGGTCCCTTTGCTTGTAAGTGGGGACAGGAATGTTTGGAGAACAGCACTGATAACTGCCTAATCATGTAATCTGCCTAATTGTAGGAGAAAAGTCTTAATTTATTCTTTCTCAGGTAGCCTTTAATCTAGCTGGGAAAGCTAAACAGTTCTGGTGGCAGTTTCTGGAGCCTGCACCAAGAGCAGGATGGGAGTTAGCAGCGACATTGGTTGCTTAATTTTGCTCTGATAAAGAACTTCCCTTGTGTTTGCATTTCAGGTGTTTGAGGCCGAGCAGTTTGGATGCCCACAGCGTGCCCAGAGGATGAACACTGCGTTTACACCGTTCCTGCACCAGCGGAATGGCAATGCAGCCCGTTCGCTGACATCTTTGACCAGTGATGACAATCTGTGGGCATGTCTTCACACCTCCTTTGCTTGGTAATGAGAGTTTCAACTGTTAGAGTGAATTCAATTGCACTGTGTTGGCCGAATAAGGCTACAGACTTGGTAGTATTAAAGTAAGGAGTGGAATGGCCCCTTCTTGAGTTCTTTTCACTGCTTCTGTGGAGGTGCTCTGGCTATGTAATTGTTAGGAAAGTATGCAACGCTTACCTTTTCGTTAGGCTTTCTCTTCTGGTTTATGGAGTCTTTAGATGGACCTCACTTCCCAGTGATTTAAAAGAAATGATGGTCCCGTGTCAAGACAGAGAGGATTGCTACTGTTTTAAAAAACATAAACATTTCACTAACTTCTGTGGATCCACAGTTTGAGAGTGGCAGAGCTGGGTGATTCTGGTGAGGGTGTTTCAGTGTGGTTTGTCTGCCGGGTTGCAGCCAAATGAAGGTTCAACTGGAGGCTCCACTTCCTAGGGTCCCACTTTTGAGGTCAGCAAGTTTGCACTGACTGCTCTATTCATCACCACATAGATGTGAGAGTTGGCACCCTTCCTTCCTTCCCTCCAGTAAGTGAATCTCAAGTGACTCAAGAGCAAGGCATTATATCATGTCATTTCAGCCATAAATGGATGACTTGGCCCTGGAAGCCATACGCTGCTCACTGGAAGTGTATCCTATCACTGAGTGTACCCATAGCCTTCTTTTGAAGGGAGAAGTGTCAAAAAATTTGTGGACATACTTGAAAGCCACCACAGTCTTATTTATATTCCTCCCATGTGCAAAGTAGACTCTCCCCCCAAATTTCTTTCCTTTGCAGCCTGCCCTTGAAGTCTAAAATCTCATCATTTCAGTCCGGTGCTGTTGACTGTAGACCCTGAAACATGGAACAGAGTTTCTGAAGACCTAGAAGCTAAAAAGAAAAATTCTCCTTGCCCCATCACCTGATGTACAGTTACTCCTGTTTTTCTGTTTTTGTTTTTTAAATTTAACACAATTTAAACTTTCAAAAATACCCCAAGCAGAATAAATAGCATCGCTTCTTCAACTGCCTGTGTATCCCTATAACTAGCTCTAGCAGTTACCAACACTACTTTTTCATTTATCCTTCTTATTTTATCCTTTAAGGAGCTCTGGTAGTGTAGTGGTTACGAATCGGGCTGTGAACCTTAAGGCCAGCAGTTTGAAACTACCAGCTGCTCTGCGGGAGAAAGATGTGGCGTTCTGCACAGCCTCAGAAACCCTGTACAGGGTCGATATGAGTAGGAACCGACTGAATGGCACTTAATAACAATAATTTTATACTTTGAGCCAGAAGTATAGCCATAAGAACATTATTATACCCAATACAATTAGCAACAAGTCTCTAGCATCATTCAGCACTGTGTTCAGTTTTACCTATTTGTCTCAAGCGTGACCTTTGAATTGAACATCCCCATATTATTTAGGAGCTCTGGTAGAGTAGTGGTTATGAATTGGCTGTGAGCCTCAGGGTCAGCTGTTCCGCGGGAGAAAGATGAGGCTTTCTGCTCCCATAAAAATTTACAGCCTTGGAAACCCTGTACAGGGTCGTTATGAGTCGGAACCGACTCCACGGCACATAACAACAACAACACCGTATTATTTAGGTTGTCCTGTCTCCCAAGACTCTCAGTATAGAACAGAGTCTCCTATTCCCTTACTCTTTTATTCCCTTGCCTGTTTTGGAAGGGAACTGTTGTATAGAATTGGCTGTGTTCTGACTGTGACTGACTGTGCCGTCATGGTGATGTTCAGCATGTTCTTTTATCCCCATGTTCCCTCTAAACTGGGAGTTAGATCAAGGTTGGTCCGGTTCAGGTTCAGTTTATGCTGTGCATTTCAGGCTCTTGAAAGCATGTGGCAGCCGGCTGACCGAGAAACTGCTGGAGGGAGCACCGACTGAGGACACGCTGGTCCAGATGGAGAAGCTTGCTGGTGAGGTTTGAAGGGGCTTGTGCTGTGAGCCTCACCTGTAGAGCCTGCCCTACAGGCATGATAGGACCATCCTTGTTACAACTACACACCCACTGACTTCTGAGCCATCTTGTAGGAACACTGACACAGGAAAATGTGGCTCTGAGTAGCCCAAGCTGAGCACTGGTAAAGCTCACCTTTAAATCTTGGTGTTGGCTGTGACTCCCTTTCTCATTCTCTTTGACATGTGGAATACTCTTTTTCCTGGCAGCTGAGAAAAGCCACTATTAGGGCTTTCTGCTGTGCAAGGGACTGAGTACAGAAAGCTCTGCTTGTTGCTGTTTTATGTGGGTGGGTGCCCAGGTATCTGTTTAACACATGCTTCTGTTGGACCCAAATTTTCCATCAAGAAGATTGATTCCTAGATGCACCTCGCACCAGATTCATGCATTAGATTCTTCACAGCTGATATTCAGGGCCTCCCAGCGGGGAGCCTTTGGAGAAAGGTCCTAGTGTCCTTTTAGCATCAGTAGTTCTCAGCATCTATGGAGTTCTCCTTGTGTCTTGGCATCAATCTTTCTCTGGATCTAGAAGCTTCACAGTGTGGAGATCCAGGTCCAAAGGATGCACTCTGCTCCCAGTTCTTCCTTGGTGGTTGTAGAACTCTCTGAGCTCTGATTACTTCTCTCCTTTTATATCTGAAAAGAGACTGACTCAAAACACAGCCTTTAATCTTTAGTCACTGAAAACCTTATGAATAGCAGAGAAACACTGTCAGATATAGTGTCAGAAAATGAGCCCCTCAGGTTGGAAGGCACTCAAAATGCAACTCGGGAAGAGCTGCCTCCTCAAAGTACAGTTGACTGTGATAATGCGAATGGAGTAAAGCTTGTGGGAGAAAAGCCCGCTTCATGGGAGAAAAGGTGCTCTTGATTTGCTGATGGGGCACAACTCAAAATGAAGAGAAACAGCTGTAAACATTCATTGAAAATCAGAACATGGAATGTACAAAGTATGAATCTGGGATAATTGGAAGTTGTCAAAAATGAAATGGAACGCATAAACGTCGGTATCTTAGATATTAGTGAGCTGAAATAGACTGGTATTGGCCATTTTGAATCTGACAACCACATGGTTTACTATGCTAGGAATGACAAATTGAAGAGGAATGGTGTTCCATTCATCGTCAAAAGGAACATATCCAGATCATTCATGAGGTATAGCATCTGTGATAGGATAATATCCATGTGCCTACAGGGAAGCCCAGTTAATGCCACTATTATTCAAATTTACTCACCAACCGCTAAAGCCAGTGAGGATGAAATAGAAGAATTCTGCCAACTTCTTCAATCTGAAATTGATCAAACATGCAAACAAGATGTATTGATCATTATTGGTGATTGGAATGCAAAGGTTGGGAGCAAAGAGGAAGGAGCAGTAGTTGGAAAATATGGCCTTGGTGATAGAAATGATGCTGGAGAACGCATGATAGAATTCTGCAAAACCAATGATTTGTTCATTTCAAATACCTTTTTTAGACAGCATAAGAGACGACTAGACACATGGACCTCACCAGATGGAATACAGAGAAATCAAATTGACCACATCTGTGGAAAGAGATGATGAAAAAACTCCATGTCATCAGTGATAACAAGGCCAGGGGCAGATTGTGAAACAGACTATCAGTTACTCATATGCACATTCAAACTGAAGCTGAAGAAAATGAAAACAAGTCCACGAGAGCCAAAATATGACCATGACTATATTCCCCCTGAATTTAGAGATCATCTGAAGAACAGATTTGATACATTAAATACTAGTGACCAAAGACCAGAAGAATTTTGGGATGACATCAAGAACATACATGAAGAAAGCAAGAAGTCATTAAGACAAGAAAGAAAGAAAAGGTCAAAATGGATGTCAGAAGAGACACTGAAACTTGCTCTCCAGTGTAGAGATGCTAAAGCAAATGGAAGAAATGAGGAGGTACAAGACCTGAACAGAAAATTTCAAAGATCAGCTCGAGAAGATAAAGTCAAATATTACAACAAAATGTGCAACGACCTGGAATCAGAAAACCAAAAAGGAAGATACACTCAGCATTTCTCAAGCTGGGGGAACCGAAGAAAAAATTCAAGCTTCGACTTTCGTTATTAAAAGATTCTCTGGGCAAATTATTGAATGATGCAGAAAGCATCAAGATAAGATGGAAGGAATACACAGAGTCACTGTACCAAAGGAAATGGTTAGTGTTCAGCTGTTTCAAGAGGTAGCATATGATCAAGAGCCAACAATGATGCTTAGGGAGGAAGTCCAAAGTGCATTGAAAGAATTGGCAAAGAACAAGGCACCAGGAATTGATGGAATAAAAATTGAAATGTGTCAAGAAAGTGAGGTGGCACAGGAGGCACTCAGTCATCTCTGCAAAGAAATTTGGAAAACAACTATCTGGCCAACTTATTGGAAGAGATCCATATTTGTGCCCATTCCAAAGAGAGGTGACCCAATGGAATACAGAAATCATCGGACAATCTCTTTGATGTTTCATGCAAGTAAAGTTTTGCTAAAGGTAATACAGAAATGGCTACAATCATACATTGACAGAGAACTTCCAGAGGTTCAAACCGGATTCAGAAGAGGCCATGGAACGAGGGATATCATTGCTGATGTCCA